TTTTCTTTTGTTTACTTCCTGGTATTGAACTCAGAGTTAAATCCCCAGCCCTTTTAATTTTGAGAGAGGGTTTCACTAAATTGCCCAAGCTGCTCTTAATTTTAAGATCCCCTTACATCGGACCTCTGGAATAGCTGGAATTTCAGCGTGCAGCGCAGTACATTTGCAAACCCTGGGTGGGGGCAGGGATTGAAGAATTTTAGTAAACACATTTTGTTATAGCAAAATGTGATTGAAAAACTGTTTCACAACAGGAGAAACAATTGATTGGACCGTGTGCTTTCCAAATCTTGGCTCATGTTTTCCGCAAGAGAAAAATTTTGTAGTTTTAAAAAATTAATAGTGGCTTCTGCCATCTGGTTTTATAAGAATCCTTCCTTGATTGGAAATTAAACATGAAACTTCTCATTGGGTATTTTCGAAACTATCACAGGGAATCAGCTGCCAGTTTACTGCCCTGTGGAAAAGTGCACGCGATTCCGGGATTGGAATCAAAATGCTAATTTAAAAGGTCAAGTGGAGCGGCGCCTCACGTTTGCGGTGCTTGCGCTCCCAGCAGGCAGAGCAGACAAAGCCGCGGCCACGAAAGGTGGACGCCGAGACTCCCCCGATTCTCTTCCCCCGAAATCTAGCCATGCCCGAAATGCCAGAGGACATGGAACAGGTAAGAGCTACCGATTCAAGAAAAGAAGCATTCTGGAGTAAGAGTTGCTTTGAAAGCATTCCAGCAGGCGCCTGGTAAGAAAACAGAATGGATGTGTGGAGAAAAAAAAAAAAAAATACTAGAAACAGGCGGCATTCGTGGATTTACAACCTAATCTTGGGACACCGAAGCCGAGACCAACTTGAGTTACTGACTCAAGAATTGACCAAAACGCAAAATAGATCAGCAGTTTCATTTACCAAATTAAGCCTAACGGTGTGTGCAAAGGGTCTCTGTATGTCGGGATTATGGTGGATTTTACTGTGTTCCAGCTTTTGTCTTTCTGTGAGTTGAATTTGCTAACTTAATGTAGTTCCAGGTGAAGTTGCTAACATCTGTAAAAAAGATGGCGTTTAATTGAGACCCTTGTCCTTATTAAAGAAAATGATTCCAACTGTACACAATCCTGAACCCTAGAACTGTATCCAACTTTTTACGTAGCAAGTATCAAGTCAGATTCTTAAATGGTAGGCGAGCAAACTTTCGTTCCTTCAGTGCTGCTTTGAGAATCACGATGCTAGTTGCTTATGTAAGTCCTTGAATCTTCCAGTTGAAAATGGTTTTTAATTCCTACATTTTAAAGTGAGGTGGGCGAGTTCCGGATCTGTTCCCTGCCCCTTTGTTTCCTTTGTAGTCTGCATTTTATGCTTGCATTGTGCTCGGGCAGCCCTCTAGCAAACGCCTAAGGAATGCTAAATTTTAAGATCTGTAACAGCCAGGGTTTAAAAAAAAAAAAAAAAAAATCAAAGAAATGGAGACCACAGCCAGCCTTCTGTTCTATGGTAAAGAAACTCTGATGTTTACTCGAATGAGGAAATAAACCCTTTGGGCGGTTGGGGAAGGAGAGAAGTCTGGAGTCTTAATCTTTGACATTGAAAAACCTTTTTAAAGGTTGCTTAATCTTTAGCTCCAAAATAAACCAAGAAGGACTAAGGAATCAGGCCTTACGGAACGCCTAGCTGAAGTCACGTTTTGGCCACTTTGCAATCTCCTGTATTATGGGTGCGTCCTACTGTTGGGTTCAAGTGGGCGAGTCCTGTACGGTCTGTGCCAGGGTTTTTCCAGTGTAAAGGTCCCCAGCCCGGCTGGCGGGAGGAGGCTTGAACTTGCGCACAGTAGGGAATCCCGTACCGTGCTGATGCACTCGGGGAAGCCAGCGTCCGGGTCATCGACGAGCGCCGCCGAGCCGCGCTCCCTGGGCGCCTGGCTTGGTTTTCTGTGTTTCCTGGGACTTGGGTCGAGGCGTGGAGCCCAGGCTTCTCATCCGGTGAAATCCGCTAAAAGTCAAGTCTGAGGCTGTCCTACCACAGTTTTTACTGCGGTGAAAGTTTGAGAATCTGCGTTTTCAACAGATGCCCAGATGATTCTCTCCACCTTTTTAATTAGTTGAAAATATCTTTACATTCTTAGAATTTCAGTGACTGTTTTTAGGATGCCAGAAAAACAAATAGTTCCTGAGTGTTGATGACTCAGATGCCAACACTTCTATTTTTGTTCCTCGCCTCTTTCTAAATCTTTGAAAACCCACACATAATTCTCTGGATAATGTCCACTTCTCTCTCCCTTCTTTCCCTTTCACCAGCCATCACATCAAAAATGTTTTATCCCACTTTAAATATGGTCAGTTTTTTATGCATTGAGCACAGTCAGAAAACTTGAAACTGTAGGTGATCCGATTCAGTTCTTCCGTAGTTAGGGAAAAAAACAAAAACCCCAGCAATCTTTCCCATCACAGCTATATCCCTTGCTCGCGCTGCGGGCCTTTGTGGTGTGTACCGCTTTAAGGCTCGGCGCGTGGGCCGGGAGCGTCCCGCGTGAGCCCGCCCCTCTCTGGGGCGTCGGCCAAGCGTGGCCAATGAGCGGGCGGCGGAAGCCGGAAGCGGCGCGCGGGGTCGCCCGGAGCCTCGGGGAGGCGGGCCGAGGGCGACGGCGCTGCGGTGCGCCGACTTCGTAGCGGGGCGGTGCGGCCGGGCCGCGGCGGAGGGTCGGCAGGCATGGTGGGGCGCGAGAAGGAGCTGTCCATCCACTTCGTGCCCGGCTGCTGCCGGCTGGTGGAGGTGCGAGCCGGCGGGCCGCGGGAGCGGGGCGCGGGGTCCCGGCCGGAGTTTGTTTACCGCGGCGCGCGCCCGGCTCGTCCTGACTCCGCGGCTGCTTCCCTGGGAGACGGAGGGGCGGGGTGGAAGTTGCTTCACTTTTCCTTGTTTTTCATCGTCTGTGCGTGGTTTCTCGGTCTGAGAAGTTCGTAGTTTTGAGAAGGAAGGGGAAGCTGGTTTTTCGGAAGGAGCAGCGTCGGGAGCGGCGGTTTCCCCGACTTCGTACCGGGCGCGACGTGAGGAGGCCCTGCGGGCACCGCGGTGACCCGAGCTGCCGCGAGCCCTCCCGCCCTCCGTCGGCGGCGGCCGCGCGGGCTCCTGCGGGGGGTCCCTCCCGGCCGCGGAGATGGTGCAGCGCCGAGCCGCGGACTGCCGGCGCCCCGACCTGTGTGTCTTACACACAGAAGCGCATAGGAGAGGGCGGGTTTTATTAACGGCAAAAACGACATGTTTCCCAAATGTCATGTGTTTAGGGTTTTTAAGTCATTTGGGATTTCGTCATGTTCGAATAGATGCGCTATTGTTTGTTTTTGTGCAGATGCATATGCATGCATCCTCGCGTGTGTGCGCGCGCGGAAGGCTAAGTCTACTGCTGTAGCAATTCAGTCAAGACAGTGCTTTTGCGTGCGTGCTTTTCTTTGTCCAAGATGGTACAGTTCAGAGCTTGGCGCTTAACTTGTTGCTGCGAAAACCTGTACGATTACAATTCACTTATGAGAATGAGAGCTGTCTTTTTTTTTTTTTTTTTTTTTGCTGTCTTTTTTTTTTTTTTTTTTTTAATGGCTTTTTGAGTCACGGTCTTACTATGCAGTTCAGGTTGACTTTGAGCTCTCTTCGTTAGCTGAAGCTTGGGTCCTTCCTGCCTCAGCCTCCCCAGTGTTGGGGTCAGAGGCGTGCACCACCATGCCCAGTTTGAGAGCTGGAGTGATTCCTGCTAAGATCTGGGGTACAATCGTGTAGCAGTTAGAATGTTGTCCAGGGCTCGGGGAGCTGGCTCAGTGGAATAAGCGCTTCCCTGGCAAGCGCTAGGGCCTGAGTTCAACCCCCGGTTCTGCCAAAAAAAGAACATTGTCCACCCAAATGATGAGATCTTTTCAGGAAATTTTTGTCTTGTGTAAATTCTTTTCTTACCCCTCTACTAGACTTGGCATGTTTTTACCTCCTCTCATTCAAGTTATTGTAGAGCTGTTTTCTTGCCAAAATTCAAAGGAAATATTTTGCTGGCCGAAGTTCTCATTTTGATTAATCAATTGGGTTAGAGCCAGATGTTAAAAGAGAGCCAGCTGCCATGAAATTTTTTTAAACTTTTTAAGTGTCTTGAAATTCGGTGAACCAAGAGGTGATCTTTTTTTTTTTTTTTTTTGCTGGCTCAGGATGCCTTAAGGGCAGGTCTGGTTGGGCTTGAGGATCTGGGGATGAACCACGGTATCCTGAGGCTGACTGCCTTCACTTAAGCAGGCACTTAAACAACTGAGCTAATGGGCAGGCCCCCAAGAGGTGATCTTTAAGAATTTATTTTTACGCTGAAATTATCTCTGTGAGCCCTTTGGTTTTATGCTTTTCATAACCAGAAATACAGTATTTGGCGTTCTTTAAACAAGCATATTTGACTGCTAAATAAAGGCTAAAGAACAGTATTGTGTTACTGTATACACGAAGCTTTTGACAGACTAGCATTAGGTGACTGTAACAACCCTTGAAATTCTTAGCCCAAAGGTAGTAAAGTGTAGTGAATTTTTTTTTTTTTATAGTAAAAGTATTTTTTTAAGAGAGGAAACTTAGGGGCCAGGGAGATGGCTCAGTGGAATAAGCGCTTTCCTGGCAAGCGCAAGGGCCTGAGTTCAATCCCCAGTTCCGCAAAAAAATAAAATAAAAAAGAGGAAACTTAGTGTTACTCATCTAGGAAGGATATTTTTTTTTTTTTTTTTTTTTTTGGAAGGATATGTTTTGAAACTGCCGTGGATGTAGAGATTTAAATTGTTTCTCAAATCATAGTTCTTTTTCTTTTCGTAAGAATTTTTTTCATTGATCATATTTTTTTCATTGATCATTTAAAAATAATTTTTCCTTAAACTTTGTGTTTATTGCTTTTAAGTATAGACTTATTGTAAATTTAGAGTAAACTCAATAACATTTTCCATTTGGTTGAATCTGGAATGCTATACTATGTTGTAAGAAACAAATTAATTTCTTTTACGTAAGTTCCTCTGAAATTTTGGGTAGTTCCCAGACCACTCAAAATATAATGAATTTTTTTGTTTTGTTGTGTTTGTGATGCTGGGATCAAACCCAGGACCTTGTGCATCCAGGCAAGAACTCTACACACCTGAGGCACGTGCCCAGCCCTGATAAGTCATTGACATTTTTTTTTTTTTTAATATTTATTTATTACATTTATTTATTGTGTGTGTGGCCAGCTCAGCCCACCAGGGGGCGGGGCTGGCTGGCATGTGGTGCTGGGGATCGAACCGCGGTCCTTGTGCTTTGCCAAGCTTGTTTCAAGTAGGTGCTTTAGACCACTGAGCCATCTCTCCAGCCCAGTCATTGACATTTGAAAGAAAACAGAAGTAAGAAATCTGAAAGCTAAAAATATTAATTTCCCAAGTGCCTAATCAGACAGTAAGATAAGCTTAAAACTTGTTTGGTATTTTTTGAGACAGAGACTTAGTGTAATCCAGACTGACCTTGAGCACACTGTGTAGCCTACGTTGGCCTCCAAACTCCTGCCTCAGCCTCCCAAGTGCTGGGATTACGGTTGTGTGTGCCAACATGCCTGGCTGGAACTTGTACTTTTTTTTTTTTTTTTTTTTTTTTTTTTTTTTTTGCGGAACCAGGGATTGAACTCGGGCCCTTATGCTTGCCAGGCAAGCACGTGCTCTGGAACTTGTACATTTTTATAAAGGGAAGAAAAACATTTTCATTTATTACTCATTTGGACATCATCAGTACAAAAAGCCTTTCATTATTGCCTGAGATCTAGGTAATTATTTGAGGTAACATTTTACATTATTATTATTATTATTTTTTTTTATTTTTGGCGGAACCGGGGTTCAAACTCAGGCCCTTGTGCTTACCTGGGAAGCACTTATTCTACTGAGCCATCTTCCCGGCCCCTACATTATTTTTCTTGGGATTATTGGAATTTAAGTAATGTGGTTGTTGGAATAGTTTATGCTTGGTTCTAACTTTAGAATTGACTTGGAGATACAAGCATGAATCAGAAAACTTAGATTTGAGGCATTTAGTGAACAGTGATGGTGACTCGTATTTTTAAGAAAATACTTTAAAACTAAAGTTTTACTTCACTTTAGGAGGAAGTGAACATCCCCAGTAGGCGGGCTCTGGTGACTGGTGCCACTGGGCTTCTAGGTAGAGCTGTGTACAAAGAATTCCAGCAGAACAACTGGCATGCGATTGGTTGTGGTTTTAGAAGAGCAAGGCCAAAGTTTGAACAGGTTAATCTGTTGGATTCTGAAGCAGTTCATCACATCATTCATGATTTTCAG